CCTAAACATTGCTCAGTGTCCATTCCCCCACTCCCCCGATGCTGGTCTTTATAATTCATTAATATGGAACTTAATACTTTATAGACTTAGGGGCTGAACTTTATCAGGTTCTGGTGGTAAGAGGCTTTGTTAACTTCAGGGTCTATGAAATGATACCATTCTAGAGGGTTCTCTTTTTGGTAAAATCAGAATTTCACAGGACAAGAAGCGCACCTACGGCTGACTGCTTTCCAGACGCTTAGCTTTGGTCAGGGAAAGAGGCAGACTGATGGCAATACGGTCATTTACTCCAGACTCGGGCCCTTGTGTGACAGCCATGACTTAGCTCCTGAGATGAGAGGCGGTCCTGCGGTCAGAATGAAAACTACAGCTGGCACTAGGAGCCAGTGTCAGAAAAGCTGAAGGTAGAGGTGAGAAGGAAGGGAGAGACTGGGTAGGAGCCTGGGCAAAGTCCCAAACCTGCCTGGACTCTGCAATGCCATAAGCACCGGAGGATGACAAGGTTCCAGCCATCAGAGATCAGAGCCAGGCGAAGGGTCAGCTCCCAGCTGGCACTGGGCCTGGAAGAGGATGACACAGCTAAGAACTAAACCAGGCAGAGCAGGGCCAAGTTGTAGTGCTATGTGGAGGGCTGAGGACCCCACGCGAATGAGAACAGACAAGCGGCGGTCCCTCGAGAGCAGGCACTGGGCCCAACAGGCGCTCCAGCCAGGAGGCAGTGGTGGGTTGGAGGTGCCACTCTATTCCATCAAACCCTCTGCAACAGCAGGCCAACAGCTGCCTGGTATGGCGGCCACTGCTGAGCACACAGCCCCTCCAGCTTTCCCATCCAGAGTGAGATGGCAGAGGTGAGCTCAGAGGAAAGGGAAAGAAGGAAGTCTGGAAAGCCAAAACCTAGAGAATCTGCACTCAATAAACCCGCCCTTCCTCCCAGCCCTCCCCAGTCAGCGTTTATTGCATCAGCAGTTGTGGGGGAGGGGACCTGAGCTAGATACATGGGCAAGGTGCTTGTCTGGCATGTACCAACCCAGGTGCGGTTCCCGGTCTCCCATGTGGTCCCCTGAGCACTGCCAGGAGTGATCCTCGAGTGCAGAACCAGGAATAACCCTTGGGCATCGCTGCGTGTGTCTCCACCTCCTCCCCCCACCTACCCCCCCAAAAAAAATATCAAAGAGGTTATGGGGGATATAAAGAAAATGAGGTTAATCCTGTGGCTTACAGTTTTCAAACCCTCAGATCATTTTTACTCCATGTCATGGGGAACTCAGTGTTCCCCAGAAACACCTGCAAAGGTTCAGGCACCCTGATGACAGTTAAAGGGAACTGAGTGACTTGTGTCTGAAGTCCAGCGCGCCAGCCAGCGTGATTCACGCAGCAGTCGGAAGCAGCTCGCGCTGGCCTGAGTTTACCCTTACAACTTGCTCTTGTTTACTTCAAAAGCAAAGAAAACCGCTGATGCTCACGCCCACACCCACACAAAAGATGGGCTGGCCGGAGCTATTGCTATTAGCTCCTCATTCATTATTCAAGGTATTTCATCACTATTGGGGTGCGGGCGGTGCTGGGAACCGAACCCAGGGCCTCACACATACGAGGCAAATGCTGCTAATGAAAGAGGTCCTCCTCCTCAACTGCACACTCATGGATAAATGAGTTTCAGGCATCTATCAAATTTGGAGGGGTGGGGGTGGCACACACCCGGCATTGCTCAGGGCTGGGGGGGAGGGGCGGGGTGCACACCTGGCATTGCTCAGGGCTTACTCCCAGCTTTGCATTCAGGGATCACTCGTGGTGGGACCATATGGGGTGCCGGGGATTGAACCTGGATTGTCCATGTGCAAGGCCAGTGCCCAACCCACTATACTATCGCTCTAGCCCCCACATTGAATTTTTTTTTCTTTTTTGGGTCACACCTAGCGATGCACAGGGGTTACTCCTGATTGTGCACTCAAGAATTACTCCTGGTGGTGCTCAGGAGACCATATGGGATGCTGGGAATCAAACCCGGGTTGACCACATGCAAGGAAAAAGCCCTACCCACTGTGCTGTCACTCCAGCCCCCAAACTAAATTTTTAAGTAACTGCCTTTAGCTTCTTCTCTGCACTGGTCCTAATTCTGAACATGCTGAGAAAACACTGTAGCTTGGGACTGAAAACGAGAGCAAGCCGTCACCATTTCAGGTGCAGTGAGACTCAGAATTCTGCCCTCCATGGTGTGAACATCAGGAGGGCCAGAGGTGACTTTGGCTCTTCCATAGCAGGAATTGCATAACCACTGCACCATCCCCTGAGACAGCTGCAGTGAATGAAAGCAAAATTCAGAGCCAGCCAGAGAGAAAACACTCCTAAACACCACATTTCGAAACAGTTTCTTGTGACCACAAAGTGCATGTCTGCAGGGGCTTTTACAAGGACAGGTGGGCCATGCTCCCCTTTACGCTGATTAAAGCCCCACCTGGCCCCAAAAGGCGCCGCCTGCCTGTGTACTGGAGTCCTGGAGTTCAGCAACAGAGTTGAGCGGCTGGCGGGCTCCTCAGCCCAGCCTGATACCACCCACTGCTCTGAGAAAAGGTCTTGGAACACATCTGTGAAACTCAGGGTCCTATGGGTACCACCAGCCTTCACTCTTCAAGGTATCACTTTACACTTGTTTTTCTTGGTTGAGTATTTTTCAGAGATTTCTCTTCTGGGGCTAAATCAGGAATTTCTGTTCCTTATTCGAGTTCCAAGAATTGTGCCTTTCCTGCCCTCCGCCCAAACTGGAAGATAGAAACCGTGGGAAAGTGTCTTCACAGGCTGTGGAGTAAGTTCTCCGACTGGTTTCTTGAGCATATGCAGGAAACTTTTCACATCCATAGAACTCTTTCATCCATGAACTCTCTCCTGGCGGCGGAAGTTTGATTTTTGGAACTTCTGGATTCTGCGAGGGCACCAGCTGATTAAGTAGTTAAGTCATGGTGGAATGCCTCAGTTTCTCCCTGTTCAGATCCAGTTCTCCCTTTCAAGAGACAGGAAGATGTGGGAAAGAGACATAAATAGCTTTGTGGGGGCCAGAGTGGTAGTACCGCAGATAGGGGACTTACCTTGCATATGGCTGACCCCAGTTTAACACCCTACATCCTATAGGGTCCCCTGAGCACTGCCAGGAGTGATCCCTGAGTGCAGAGCCAAAAAAAGTAAACCATGAGCACCCCCAGGTGTGGCCCAGAAACTAACAAAAAATAGTTTTATGAGACTGACTTACTGGGATCTAGCGAGTCTCAAGAATCTGCTACGTGCCATTCCTCTATTTAAGGCTCAGTAAGAGGACCAGGCACACAGGGACAGAGCTTCTGCCCTTGTAACCTTCATCAGTCTCAGTTATGCCTGGGAAGGCTTCGGAGCTAATTTTAGACAGGGAGCCTCTGATGCTCAAAGGACAAGTCTCATAAAGCATCTCTGGAGCCAGAAATGGATCCATGTGTCTTGACTCACAGTTACCGAGTCCAGATCACAGTATTATACACGAGTGGGCACTGCTGTTGGCGGTGCAGCCGTCAGAGGAGACAAATACTCCTGGTTGGCGGCTGTGAGCCACGCCACCTGACCAAGTGGGACTCTAGCTATATTGACACACTGAGTCTTCTGGGCCATAGAGCTTTTTAGGTCACTCTTTCGGAATTACCCTCTCGAACGGGGCTTTTATTCTGTGAAAGATCTGTGCTACACCACAGGCAGCGGTGGACAGATCTTTCCCTTACGGCTGCCCTGTGGCCAGTGTTGGCCAAAGCGTGGCTAGACAAAGGGCCAGAACAATCCCACTTGGTAAGATATGCTTGGTAAATATGCAGTTTCCTAGAGCCCTTCAGTCACCCTAGCTACTCCCACAGGAGAAAGGCCGGCCTCTGTGAAGCCTGGGGGCTCCCCCAGCACCCCACTCGCCTTGAACCTCTGCTGGGGATATGGCGTTCCCACAGGCTCCCTGAGCACCTGTGAAGGCTGCAATCACTAAGGAGGCAGAACCAGTATGGAAACACACAGAATTGTGTGCTAGTGACACCATGCACACTGCCGCATGTTTGTGGTCCACTATATGCAACAGCTCCCTCACCAACCCAGCCCACGCTCAAGGTGGGGGTCACAAGTTCCGTGTCTCCAAGGCTTCTCCAGCGGGTAACAAACAAGAGTTCAGTGGACCTGGTCGGAACTGCAGAAAACAGGAAGTCTGTCCAGCTAGAGACTCATGGAATCAGCTACCCGGCGCCTGCCAGCTGCTGCCATTTGGAAATGTGGACCCGGAATTACAGATCTCCTGAGGTTTCAAGGAAAAACAAGCAATCTGAATTTGTTTAATGTACAATCTCCAGATTCTGAAGTTCTAGTAACAAATTCGAATCAGATCGTGGGTGAGCCCGAGAGCCAATCCCGCCGCGGCTCCTGCCAACCTTCTGGACCCACCGTTGCTGCAACGTCCCCGAGTCAGTTGAGCACTCAGCCCTTCTCCTGCAGCCATACCCACAGGCTGTGACCTCCCTGCGGCTCCCACTTTCTTTCCTCTCTCTGCCTGGATGGTGATCACAAGCCTGAGTTTCAAATTGCCCTCAGACACATTCCAATTTTTGACCCCAGCTATGAGTGCAGGAAAGGGAGCACAGGACGCCCAGGTGCCCCCCAGAGATCAGATGCATGAGGTCTGGAAATGGGCCAAAGACTGTATATGTATTTTAGAAGTCCAGTGCACTCCCGTTGTGCAACGGAGCCACCTTAAGAGTACATCTGGTTTTTTAAACTTCCCAGATGATTCTGATGATGAGAGAGTTTTTGGAACCACTGTCTTAAGACTGCTAACAAGTTGTTTGGGATCATTTCCAGTGAATTATAAAGGGAACTGTAAATACTTGCATTTCTCTGTTTTAAACTGTAACCTCTAATTACAGCCCTCTATGAAAACACACAAAGAGGCCCGCTGCTGCCGTTTCGGGCAATTCCATCAGAGCAGAACAATAAATAAACCCACGCCGGAACTTTTGAGCAGCTTTTATTGGCACGACCTAGAGAAAAAGTGTGGCAGCCATTTCTGAGCAAAAACCCCTGTGCTCTGGCAAGGTATTCGGTGTTATGTTTTACACACCACTGAGCCATAAAGTTGAAGTTCCTGCACCGTGGCCCGGGGTCACCAAAAGGCTCCAGAATCAATAGGTCAAGCCCTGCTGCTCCATCCAACCTGAAAGGCCACAAACAGTCCTGAATGTGTGTCCCTTTTTATGGGCTGACTCCAGACGGCAGGAAACGGCATCGGCTTTTGTTAGGTCAACTGCAGTTCGTGCCCCCAGTCCCGGGGAGCTGTGTGTGGGCAGCGGCAGCGCAGGAACCCCTCGGCTGAGGTGGGGCCACGCAGCGGTCAGAGGACATGGTCATCCGGGTGGTAGAGCTCACTCATCAGGCGGTAGATGTAGGAGGGGGCGTTCCCCCCGATGTTGGAGATGAACAGGGTGATGAGCTCTGGGGGCACGTAGTCAAACACGGGGCAGTGAACGCTGACTTTCTCCAGGATGTCCCCTGAAAGGCAACCACACAGAGAGCTGAGGAGGCTGCTCCCAGCACTCTGGAGCGATGAGGCACGCTGCCGTCCCCCCCCACCCCCATCCCGGCCGAAGGCAAGTGCAGCCAAGTGCAGGCCAGAAGAAGCACAGTGCAAGTGTCCTCCCTGCAGACCTTCCCCCCACCCACCCACCAAGAGGCCTCGTCTCAGCCTTAAAATACAATTGGCGCCAAGGAATGCAGCCTTCCAGGCCAGGCCCCTGCCTACGACAGCTACTACACTCGCCTGAACCTGGGCCCTCCCCTCCTTGCTCCTTACTCTCTGGCCAGAAGGGGAAGCTGATCCCTAGTTCAGCCCCTGGCCCAGACAGCTGGGAAACACACTCCCCCCATTCCTACCCGGCAGCTCTATTCGCTCAGGACACAGCTGAACTGCCTCCTTCACACCAGAGGTTACTGCAGGCCTGGGAGATGGCCCAAGGGATTGGCGTACGAGCTTTGTGTGTGGGAGGCCTAGGTTTGATCCCTGGTGTCATATGATCCCCCAAACACCACTTGGAGAGACGCCAGAAAAACCAACTGGGAGTAGCCTCACACATCACCAGGTATGGTCCTCAAACCCAAAAATGAAACAATAATAAATTCCCAGACTTACCTGGTCTACCACCCACTTCTCTGTTTAATTTTCTGGGGTTTGGGGCCATACCTGGCAGTACTCAGGACTTACTCCTGGTGGGGCTCAAGGACCAGGGATTGAACCTGGGTCGGCCATAAGGCAAGTGCCTTACCTGCTGCACTTCTCACTAGCTCCTACCACTCAACTTTTCAGAAAATAGCTCCCAGTCCCCGCCCCGCAAAAACAAACAATCAAACACAACCACCACCACCAACAGCTGCCTCCAACAAAACCCCAACACTCAGAATGTTCCCTGAAACTCTAACTTCTTTATGTAATAGAGAAAGTGTCTCCCAATGCACCCGAGATGACCATCATCCCCCTACATAGTGCCGGCATCCCCGGGCACGGCGGTAGGAACACTCTCCTGGGAAACATTGCTTAAAATCCCTGCCCCTTTCTATCAGAGCATCTGTATATTTCTTCCTCAAACCCCCTGGCCTTGCCCTGTCTCCTGCAGTGGAAGGTCAGCTGTGGGGGGAGCAGGGCCTTTGCATATTCCCCACTGAGTGCTCTATCCCTAGAGCATTATCTCTTGAGCCTGCAGCCTGGATACCCGGGGTGTAGTAGTGTAAATGCATCTTGAATCAATGACTGAATAAATGACCAGAAAAAATGGGCACCCTTGGATCCACGCTGGACTCCCCAAGGGTGTTCGAGGTCAAGGCAACAGGCTCACTGCACACAGCGGCCTCGGAAGCCAGAGAAGAGGACCCCAACAAGCCAAGGTATTCGGGCAACAGGTGGGTTTTCTACGGAGGAACGCTTCCGGGCCTACTCCCGTTGGTGGGAGCCATGTCACCTGAAACAAGCACGTTTCCCCCACGGGGCTCCAGCCTGAATCTCCAGCAAGCAAAGCCAAATCCCATCTACGCTGGGTGACCCGACCCGCTTAAATGGGAGACTCAGAACAAAACGAACATGAGTATCAACCCCCGCCCCTCTATGGTGCTACAGGAACAGTCTCCACTGAAGGACGTCGAGCCTAACCTGACGGCACTGAATCCCACCAACGCCAAGGTCAAACCAAAAGAGCAGGGGCCAGGGAGATAGCAGAGTGGGTAGGGCACTAGCCTTGCCCACAGCTAACCCAGGTTAGATGGCCAGCATCCCATATGGCTCTCCCCAGAACACCTCCAGGAGTGACCCCCAAGGACTGCTGGGTGTCGCCCCCAAACCAAAGGGCCAAGCTGCAGGTACGTTCGTGCCGACATCTGTACCTTCTGTGAAAGGCAGGACTTCCTCGGGAGCCACGAACTTGTGGAACGAATCTTCTTCGTTGGGAAACTGGAGGAGAGAACAGGAATTAGACCACAGAATTCCACTTCCAGTTTTATGCCCAAGAGCAATAGAAAGAAACATGGTCATGGAGAAGCTGACAGACAAAAGAGGCAGCAGTTATTACGCATAAAAGTCAAAAGGCGGAAACAATCCCAACACCCGCAACCGATATACTGGGGTCTACCCATACGCTGGGTTATCGCTCAATTACAAAAGAAAAACACCACCTGAGCCCTGTGAGCACGGCAGGCATGCTTCTCGGCTGAAGGAGGACAGAATGCCACTAAACGCGGGCTAACTGGGGAAACTTTATGCTAAGTAAAAGCAGCAAGTGATCATTTCCTGAGCACCTGCTTTCTGGGATGACAGAGACATGCTGAGACCGCGGTGGTGGTGGACAGTGCTATGAGTACACTAATGCCACCAGAATCACTCTGGGTTGTTCTGTTTGAGTCACACCTGTCAGTGCTCAGAAATTACTCCTGGCTCCATGCTCAGGGTAGTCTCAGGGGACCAGATGGGGTGTCAGGAATAGATCCAAGGTCAGTTACATCCAAGACAAGCACCCTATCATCTGTACTCTCTCTCTGGCCCCTAAAATATACATTTTTTGGGGGGGAGGGTCGGGTCACAACAAACAATGCTCATGGGTTACTCCTGGCTCCGCACTCAGGAATCACTCCTGGCAGTGCTTGGAGACCATATAAGATGCCACGAATCAAACTTGGGTTGGCTACATACAAGGTAAATGCCCACCAGTTGTATTATTGTTCTAGCCCCAAAATACACATTTTTGGTTTTGTTTTTAGACCATACCCTGCAGTACTCAGGGGTTACACTGGCTCTGCACTCAGGAATAATTTCTGATAAGTGTGGGACCATTAAGGATGCTGAGGACTGAACCCCGGGCAGCTGTGTGCAAGGCAAGTGCCTTAACCCCTGTAATAACTCTTCAACTCTGTTTTTTTTGTCTGTTTGTTTTTGTTTTGTTTTTTGCTTTTTGGGTCACACCCGGCGATGCACAGGGGTCACACCTGGCTCTGCACTCAGTGCTGGCAGTGCTCAGGGGACTGTATGGGATGCTGGAAATCAAACCCAGATTGGCCACATGCAAGGCAAACGCCCTACCACTGTGCTATCACTCCAGCCCCAATCCTGTATTTTTTAACTGAGGTGAAACTCAAGGCACAATGAACCACTTAAAAAAATACATATTTTGTGGTGATGCCAGGGATATAACTGGAGTTGGCAACATACAAGGTAAGTGCCTTAACCCCTGTCTCATCTCTTTGACCCTGTATTTTTGAGGTGAAACTCCAAGCATAATGAGCCACTTAAAAATGTGTATTTTGGGGATCCCTGAGTTCAGAGCCAACAACAGCCCAAGCACTGCTGGACCATGCTGGACATGGCCCCAAACCTCCTCCATTCCATAAAAAAACAAAACAAAACAAAAAAAAAACCCCAAAAAATTTTACAACAGAGACCTATAAATAGGTTGGTATTTTCAAAACAAATAGTTTCTATCGCTGATGAAATAGCTCTTCTCTCTTGGTAACTGCTTTTATTCAGGCTACAGAATACCCTCCCTGGATCTATGACAAAACCAATACTACAGTCCCAGTTCCAACTGGCTTGGCATTTTTAGAAAAGGTCAGGACAAGGAGGCTGACCCGTGGCAAAGGAAAATGGGAACTTTTCCCACTAAGTACTGTCCTGACCTTCCAATTCTGAGTTCCTGAAAGTGAGAGTTTATAGCTATCAAATGTTTTTCCCTGGATTTAGACTTCGGAGGCTTAATATACCTCTGCTGGGTTTAATCCATCAGTCGACTCCTAGTAAAGATACACATCAGATAAAGATACACTCCGGGTAAAGATACACATGAGCTCCAGAGTGAGCCACCTGACAGCCCAGAGTTCAAGCCCACACCTGGGTTGCCTTCTCTCATGGCCAGGAGCCGGAGACAACATACCTGCGGGGAAAGCTTGAACATGGGCGCACAGACGATGAGGGGCGTGGAGTGGTGCTTTGCAGCCAGTGCGAGAGTATGAGTTCCTGTCACAGCTCTCAAGGCACCGTTGGCAAGGATGGTCTTTGTGCCAATGATCACCTTTGGGACAGGAAGAAACATGTGAGCCACCCTGGGGGTGGAGGCTGAAACAGGCCACCTGAATGCTCAGGCCGAAGGCTTAGCACTGAGGGATCTCTCACCAGTAGAGGGAAAGGGATCCTTGGCTCAGGTTCCAGCATAAGAGGGGATTCCCAGGGAGCAACTGAACATCCCTTGGGTAGGAAGCCTTAAGATCCACTACCCTTAGCTCATTTCTGTTTGGAGCCACACCTGGCAATGCCCAGGGGTGGGTGTGGCTCAGTATATACTCCTGGTTATACACTCAGGAGTTACTCCCAGCAGTGCTTGGGGGACCATATGGGATGTCACGTATCAAACCCAGTCAGCTGTGTGCAGAAGCCTCCTCCCCTGTACTATTGCTCCAGCCCCCTTAACTCTGTCTCTTCTGTACACTTATACTTTAGACCTCTTGAGAGGCTGGGAGCCTTCCTCATTCACCATCTACCACTGTCACCAGGCAGCTTACCCACTTAGCTTAGAACTACTCCAGTCTTTCCCATTCTTTCCCCATAAAGAGTATACTCCAAATGAGGCGTAATGATATGGACCAAGGGAAAAGACATTCAATAAAAACAGAAGTGGTAGAACTTTTTTTCCCCTTGTGGATATTAGAGGGGGCCAGTGGGGATCAGTATGTTGAAGTTTAACCTTCACAAATTCAACTTTTTCTACCTCCAAAAACATTCACCTTGTTGACTCTTGACATAACAGCAAAAATGGCGGCATCCGTCATGACGGTTGTCTCAATGCCTTCTTTGGACAGGTTAACCGCCATTTCATGACCCTGCAATGTGAGAGAGAGACTGATGCAGGGAAAAAGAAGCAAGATACGAATTCTCAATGCTGGGACTGGAGAGATAGCATAGCGGGTAGGGCGTTTGCCTTGCACGCGGTCGACTGGAGTTCGATTCCCAGCATCCCACATGGTCCCCTGAGCACTGCCAGGAGTAACTCCTGAGTGCAGAGCCAGAAGTAGCCCCTGTGCATCGCCAGGTGTGACCCAAAAAAAGCATAAAAAAAAAGAATTCTCAATGCCATCCAGTGATAACAGGCAAATTCATCACACAATTTCCAACAGACGACTTATTTCTCTCCCTCCATACTCAAGTCTCCTTAGACAAGCCGCAGGTAACCTAATAAATGTTTAACACTCCACACAGTGCTGGAGCAGCCACAGAACTGGAACTACTACTTGCTCAAAGAGTTGGATGCGGATGACAAGACAGTAGCTGCTCCTAATTTTACAACATCCCGCATCTTTACCTACTTCCTTTCTCAGAGACCTATTATTTACCCAGGGATTAGTGAGATGAGCCCAAGCATCAGTCACACCTAAGGTAGCTCTTCTTCCTTTGATTCCCAAAAGAATAATTATCTTCTCTTGGACCCAGCAGCTCACCTAATTTTCTTAAACTAACATTTAAGAATATCCATAGCATTAACAACTTGAAAATCCCTCCCGCCCCCCATTTTTCTCTTCACAGCGTTGGTTTATTAATTCCACAGACACTCAGACCCTCATTTTTCACTCGTCTTACCCTACCTGGCAGAAAGGGGCACACTCTGCCACAATGACATGGAACTTCCTTTTACGAGCAGCCTCTTTGAGAAAGGCCTCCACCGTTCGGGAGAAGCCGATGGTCATGATCACCTCGTTGGAGTGGATGTGCTCCAGAGCCTGGGCTGCAATGTTCTCCATGGTCCCTTCTGCAATGAAGGAGAGTCAGTTTTATAAAGCAATGATGAAATGGCCCTGCTTCCCTGAGACAGCTGGGATCGAGCACGGAGAGGTATGTGTGCGCCTCACCCAGATCACACACTCAAGTACCTAGGACAGAGCTTATGGGTTATTTATTTATTTATTTATTTTGCTTTTTTGGGTCACATCCGGCGATGCTCAGGGGTCACTCCTGGCTTTGCACTCAAGGAATCACTCCTGGTGGTGCTCGGGAGACCATATGGGATGCCGGGAACCGAACCCAACTCGACCGCGTGCAAGACAAAAACGCCCTACCCGCTATGCAATTGCTCCAGCCCCCAGAGCTTATGGGTTTAATAGGAACTAGCCTACTTTATTAAAACCCTGCTCTCCCAGAATCTCTAATCTCCTAACTTCTTGCCAGCCCTCCTTCAGGCAGCTCCCCTACTGATCAATTTACCCCTAAACCACCACCACGGCAACTCCTTACAGTGGATTTTGAAGACAATTCATTCAGGCAAGGAATGGTCCAGAGGTTGGACAGAACTCAACAGGCTGGAGTGTATGCTTTGCTCACAAGAGACCCAGGCTCAGATCCCAGGCACTGCACGGTCCCCTGCGCACTGCAGGGCGCAACCCCTGAGCACCACCAAGGGCACAAAAAAGCAAAGGAAAGGTCCTCTCTATTAGAGGCTCTGTTCCAACAGATCTGCACTCTACAGAGGTCTGGTGGGTCCAGAGACCTAGAGAGGGATAGCTGAGTCCTGCTGGATGGCAGACAAAAACTCCAGAAGAGCAGGGGGGCTGCTCTTCTCTCCCAGGATGACCCACCTCCGGGCTCCTCTTTCCCCTCACCTGCCTGGCCCTTGTCCTGTCCACCCCTGGGCTCACGACTCTTACCCAGTTCCACGAGCAGCTCGTTAACGGCCTCGATGATGTTGGCCTGGAGTTGGGCATAATGGAGGCTGAAATCCTCACTCAGGCCACCAGATGTCAAGAGTTTGTGCAGAGACTCCTGCTGATCGCTCTCGTCGCTACGTCCACGGAGTCTACGGAGGGCGACAAGAACCAAAGAGGGAGGTCCAGGTGGAGGGGGGAGGAAGCGAGCGAGCTACAGGACCTGCCCAGAGCTAATCAAGGCCACGAGAGAGGCGGGGGCCGAGAGGTGGGGGGCGGGGAAGGGCTGGGGGGGGGAGGTGGAGGGGGTCCCGTCGGCAACCCCGTCGGCAACCCCGGGCGTGGGGCTCACCTGCCGTACTCCTCCCGGATGATGCGGAGCACTCTGCGCACCATGTTGCCCACCGTGGTCTCCGAGGGCTGCGCGGCCGTCATCCTCCGGCCCTCCCGGCGGATCAGATCCATCAGCTCCTCTGCGGTGCGGGAAGAGACAGACAAGAGTGAGAGGGTGAGCGGGGCCAAGGCGCGCGGGGAGCCCCGGGATAGGGGGCGGTGGGCGCGCCTCACCCGCATTGCTCCAGCGGTGGTCCCTGATGATGCGGCACAGCAGCCCCAGGGTCTCCCGGGCCATGTCCTCGGAGCTGCGCCGCCCGCCGCCCCGCTTCAGGGCCTCCACGAAGCTCTCGATCCTCTCGGACAGCTCCGAGCCCTGTTCGGCGGCGCCCGGCATCTCCAAGCAGCCAGCAGCTCGCCGGGCCGAAACCCGCACCTGCACCACGGCGGAGTTTACACTTCCGGGGCGGCGAGGTTCACTTCCGCCCCGGGAGGAGGCTGCGGCGGCGGCGGTGGCGGCGGCGGCGGGGAGACCCACGGAGCACGGGGCTGGGAGCCGGGAGGACACGCCCCTTTCTGCCAGTGCCCGCCCCTTGTCAGCCCCCTGAGCCAATCAGAGACGTCGAGTTCGGTTAATTGGCGTCCAGCCCCGCGGCCGCGCGCCTCCCGAGCCGCGGGGGCGGAAGTGGCCTTTCCTGGCGTTTCAAACGCTGTACAGAGGCCACGCGAGGGTGGCTAGACCTGTTACCATGGGAACAGCCAGTCAACGCCACGACCCGAGGCTAAACTGTAAACTGGAGACGTTGCCGCTCCCCTTTCTGGTTCCCTGGCTCCCGTGACCTCCCTAGCCGGCGGCCGCGGCTATAGAGTGCATGTCCAGCACCTCGCTGTCCCCTGGGTTCTTCATTAGAGCCTCGTCCTGATGTTGATAACTCTGTTCTGGTTCCTTTCCGCCTGTGACTCATTCAGATTTAGTTCCCTGATGGCAGGGATACTATCTCCCTCCACCCCCCCACCTTTCCATTCCCAACACTTAATATATAGTAATCTAGGATTCAGGGATAACGAGAGCGAATACCCACCCAATAAAGACATGAAAAGTGGAAGCCAGTATGTGTGCAATGTCCGTCTGTTTGAACAGACTACAGAAGCAGGGGAGTTTAACATAACACCAAGAGTTACCATCTGCTTTTCGTTTACCAGATATTGGGCAATGTGTGTGAATTTTCTCATCCAACGCAACTCTGTGATGTTTGTCGGCTTATCCTCATTTTACAGATTAGGAAACAGGCCCACAGTGTTTGACACTGTTAGTAAGGAGATGTGTTTGTATTCAAATCCAGGTTTATCCCAACTCAAAGAATGTGCAATCAGAATCTTTGTTAGTTTCCTTAAGGTAATTTCTTAGACATATAATCATAGAGCATACACATTTTCTTTTCTCCCAGCTTTCTGCTAAAGGATTATTCCTGGCGCTGCACAGACTTTGCAGGCAAGAGTCCTGGATTCAATCCTTGACATCACATGGTCTCCCAAGCACTGTCAAGAGTACCCTGGGAGTGTAGTGTGAGCGCTGCCAGGTGTGGGCCCTCCCCCCAAGAAGAGTATCAATTTATATGCTTGCTAATACATTCTGTTCAATTTTGGGTATTGTTATTTTTCCAGATAGCAATTCATTAATAAATGAGGTACCTACTAGTTTATATATTCCCTACTAGTTTATATATATTCTAGTTTAAAGAACACATGTACGTGTGTATAATATGTATATTATGCATATAATATATGTTATACACACATGGCCGAGTGATAGCACAGCGGTAGGGCGTTTGCCTTGCACGTAGCCAACATGGCCGACCCGAGTTCGATTCCTCCGCCCCTCTCGGAGAGCCCGGCAAGCTACCGAGAGTATTTGATATGCCAGACACAGTAACAACGAAGTCTCCAATGGAGACGTTACTGGGCCCGCTCGAGCAAATCGATGATCAACGGGAGGGCCTTTACTTTACTATATAGACAAGTTATAAAGCATTACAACAAAAGGAGTATCTATGAATTCACTTCCTGCGTTTGGTAGTGCCCAGGGTCTATTTCTGGTTCAGTACTCAGGAGTGACCCCATCAGTGTTCGCGGGGCCATATGTGGTAAAAGAGATTCAAACTGAAATTGGTGGGATGCAAGACAAATGTTACCCCTGTAACATTTATCCAGCCCCCTCATTTATTTAATCTTGGGTCACACCTGGCGGCATTCAGGGTTTCCTCCTGGCTTTGTGCTCAGGGGTCATTCCTGATGATGCTTAGGTAACCATATGTGATGCTGAGGGTCAAACCAGGGCTGACTCTGTGCCAGGAAAATGCTGTAACTCCTGTACCATCTCTCCAGACCAGGGTTTTCTTGTTCTGAAGAAAGAAAGAAGGAAGACTGCTTAGTTTCTTCTCTTTCTGATCCTCGTAGATGCAATACCTACAGTATGTCTCTTGAGAATGTGTACTGTGTGGGCCTCATGAATGGAGATAAAGTAAACTTGCTGAAGATGGCAGGACAGGAAATCAGAAAGAACCACTTATGGATTAGTGGTTACAAGGATAAGGGAGCCACGAACCTAGTCCCTTGATAATACCACACTTACTCAGTATTTTATATTGGAAATCTTTTCATCCTTACAACAGCCCATGAGACGGGTACTGTTTTTTTTTGGGGGGGGGGAGGGGAAGAGTTAGAAAAACGTTGTGTTTAATGGTAAAATTCAGTTCACTCCAGTACTGGGTGTGGCCTGGAGTCGAAGCAGCAGGGATGGGTAGGTGACCCCTACGGAGCCTCACATGGTAAAGAAGGGTGAGGAAGGCAACCATCAAACAGAAGAGCCCCATGGCCTCAGACAGGGCACAACCCAGGATGGCATAGGAGAAGAGCTGCTGCTTGAGAGACGGGTTCCTGGCATAACCGATGGTCAAGCTGCCAAACACGGTCCCAATGCCAGCCCTTGAGCCAGCCACACCCACCGTGGTGGCCCCAGCGCCAATAAACTTGGCTGCTATATCAATGTCCCAGGAGACCACGCTGGTCTGGAACTCCCGCCTGGCCACCTGGAGCAGGGAGCTGCTGTAAGAAGGCTGCGGCCCTTTAGATAGGATCTCAGGCCTGTTCAGGAAGGAGGCAGACACGAGCCTGATTAGACCCCTGGTAAACAGCGGATCAGAGCTGGAGTAATGAGCAGTGTCCCGGTGGTCTGCATTTTTTTCAGTCTGCACTCCCACTGCCCAGCTGTCCCTGCTCCGACCACAGCGCTGCCCTGCTCAAGGTGACTGACTTGAGACTGGTACTGTTATAACCATTTTCCAAAGCAGAAATAGGAGGAGCGTTTTTTTTTTTTAATTAGTGTCATGCATGCAGTATGCGGTGAAAGAGCTGGATGAACAGTCTGCCTTTAGCCTGCACTGTTTATGTGTGTTCGTTGTGATGCCTTTTACTAAAGTCACTGTGAATTCAGCGAACACAAGTATCCCTTTAGATTTCTTATGAAATGAAAAATTTATCTGGCATTGACATATCTTTGTTTGTTTGGGGGCCACATCTAATCTCTGGGGACCATAGCCATTTTCATACTATCTTTCCAGCCCTATCGTTTCTTCTCGTCGCCTCTCACTTTCCTGTGTTCGTGATAGTGATGATGTGGCAGTGACCAGTGGTTGCACATGTGCCCAGCTGTGGTGCTCACTGGGAGTTGCGTGTCAGGTAGGGCTGCTCTCACACCCAGCACAGTGCTCACTGGGGTCTGCGCTCCTTCTCAGTGCTTGCCGGGACCCCCACTCTTAGTAGAGGCACACAGATTGTGGCTGTGATGCTCACATCAGTGTTGGCCAGATGTCATACTTCTTGGGGATGGCACTCACACTTTTTTCCAGCTGCAGTGCTCACCAGACATTGCACCCTTTTTTTGTGAGGGTCACACACACCTAGCTGTGCTGTGGTTGGAAATTGCTTGCAGTGCTGGGATTTGAAGATAGCTGAGCAGCCAGCTCAAACAACAGAGCTTTCAGAACTATGCTCACTCATGGGGAACCCCGGGGCTTTGAACTCTTGGCCATGTGCTTGCAAGGCATCACTCTAAGTTACTTCCCTTCCCTACTTCAGAGAACATGAGAACTGATGCTCAGCAGGAAACAAGCCACCTGAGGGAGCCAGGAGATAGGACAGGGAGGAGGCAACTGGCTACTGTGGGGGAGAAAGCACTCAACAGGGAGGAAGAATTGGTGTTGAAAGGTTGTAAAGTGTTATGAATGAAACTCTATCAGCTACATACTGTAAACTGCAGTGCAAAAACACATATTTAAAAAAGTGCCCCTCGTAAAGGCAGCTCAGATGGAGAAGGGAGCACCAAATAAAGGGTGCTGGGAAGATCTGCCCAGGACGGGAGATGCATGCTGAAAGTAAACTCTAGAACGAACATGATTGCCACCCATGCCTCTTCTGCAAACCACAGCACCCAAAAGGAGAGAACAAAAGGGAGTGTCCTGCCACAGAGGCAGGGTGGGATGGGGGATGGAGGGGTGGGAGGGATACTGGGATTGGTAAGGGTGGAGAATGGGCACTGGTGGTGGGATGGGTACTCGATCATTGTATAACTGAAACCCAAGCACAAAAACTTGTTAAGTCTACAACTGTATCTCATGGTGTTTCACTAAAAAAAAAAAAAAGTGCCCCTCATAAAGGAAGACTGGTGGGTGAGAGGCAAATTGGGATGGAGGGGGAAATTGGTGGAGGAAAGTGGGCACTGGTGTAGGCACTGGTGTTGAAACAATGTATGCCTGAAACCCAACCATGAACAACTTTGTGATCTCACGGTGACTAAAAAACAAACAAACACTAATAATAAGCTCCCTCCCTTTTCCTCCAGGCCCTGCTTATATCATTTTTAACAGGAGGGGTTTTTTTTTGTCACTTACAGCCCAAGGTATCTTGACATTTTTCTAGTTAATTTGTAAGATCCATTTACATTCTAAAGATAATAACTCTTTGTGCAATATTAGTAATTTTAAGTACTTTGCCCCATTCTCAATATTACTATGTGATTATAAATTAGAATACTTGTAAATTGACATACTTTTTAGCTATTTAGAAATTGTAGCAAAAAATCTTGAAAATGTTTCATTCATTATTTTGAATCTTTAAGTTCACTTCTAGGAATTCATCCTAAGGACTAATAAAAAAGACATATTTAGGCAAAATACTTTCATCTTACCATTCTATTATAAAAATTACCACCATGGCTTGCACGCAGCTGACCTGGGTTCAATCCCTGGCATCCCATATGATCCCCTGAGCTCCTCCCTCCCTCCTGAGGAGGGATTTCTCAGCATAGTCAGGAATAACCCCTGAGCACCTCAAGGTGTGGCAAAAACAATAACAAAAAAAAACACAAAATAGAAAAAAACCTCAAAACAAAACAAAAGCATATTTAACAACATAAGAAATGCATAAT